ACCATTTTTATTTTTTCTGGTCATACATTTAAATCTTATGCAGTGTTTTTTTCTTTTTCTCTATTTCTACTATTTTTAAATCTTCTTTAAAGTAAATTCTTATTTAAGCTTTATAAATCGTGACGAATAGCAATTTTTCTTTTTCTTTCTAGTCCTAATATCAGTTGATAAACAATCGCTTTTAATCAATGGACCAAGTGACTTTAACTGTTTTCGTTATAAATAAACAATAATAACAATTAATGCATTTTTAATGAAATAATCTAGTCTACTCTAATATTTTCATCTAGAACATATTAAACGTTAACTAATAAACACGCTCCTTTGACGGAATAATCCAATATCCTCTAGACTTTTCATCTTAAATTAATCAAGTTGTCAATATATAAAACAAGCACCTTTGACAAAATAATATGATACGTCCCAGTCTTCTCGATTTTAATTTTTTACTATGTTGATTAATAAACAAGTAAAAATAATAAATGACCCAGTACGATCTTGTTATTTCATATCTTTAATCAAAGAAAATGTCAAATGATCAAGTACCTCAAACGGAATAATTCAATGCGCTCAAGTCTTTTCATCTTATATTAAACAAATTGTTAAATAATCAACAAGCACCTTTGACAGAGTAATCTAGTACGCCCAAGTCTTCTTAATTATAATTTATTATCATCCTAATAAATAAACAAGCACTTATTACCAAATGACCTAGTATGCTCCAGTCTACTTTTTGTAAAAGATCAAATGTTAATTAATATTTTAGCCCATTAATAGAATATACCAGTGTGCTGAAATCTTTTTACTTCGATTTAACTATGCACAACTGGTATGCTTTTTCATTTATATATAATGTTTTTATGTTGTATCGATACATTCTAACAAAAATACTGTAGTTCATTTACAACTTAATAATTCAAAGAACATGATCACTTGACTATTTTCGTTGGTAATAAGTGCAATAAATAATTAATAAAGAAACAGAATCAGAGATTGGTAGGAAGATTGCCAGTGCCTGCGGTAGAGAGCGTGTCACTTTTTTCAACTGTATTGTTTTGATCACCCTAAACTTGAACCCTAGAGCTTTACTATTGGGTTCAGCTTCACTACAGTTTGGGTGATATTTTTAAATCAAAATTTTTTCCATTGTTATTAGTAAGGAACTATACTAATAGTGCTAACATTCCATCATTTTTTGGATGAATGTACAACTAATATTGATAAAGTTAAAAGTTAATAAAAAATAATTTAATAGTACTAAGTTATTTCACACCATTTTTGCAAAGTGGTTGTGATCATTTTAGAACCTCATTAATAAATGTATAAAACTTAGTTTTATAAGAAATTTAGGCTATAAGAGACCACACAAATTTTTGAAAACATTTCTTACTAAATGACTTTTTTTCAACAAAAAATTGATAAAGTTGGATGTTACAAAACAATCTCTCATGAAGAGCAGTGGTGTTTTCTGTGTTTCTTTTCGAAAAACAATGCGTAAATAATACTGCAACATAGACAAAAAAAAATACTTGCGAAATTTTTTTTATTTTCAGTAGGTTATGAAGTCCTATCGTAAATTTTGAGTTTTATAAATGTATTTAAAGATTTATTCACGCACTCTTAGGTTGTAAACAAGTAATAAATGTTGGAAAATTATAATTCATTTTCTTAAAAAGTTTAAGCGTTTATAGTATTACATCCAAACCTTAAGTACTTTCTTGAAGTACAAAATTGTGAATACGTACGCAAAGCAGCAATTTACGCACTTGGCATAAAAAACGTTGCATGCAACGCGGGCTCAAACGTATAATAAACATGCACTTTGGATATCTATAGTGTAAAAACTACTATTTTAATTCCTGGGAGAAATAATAATAAAAAAAATTTTTTAAATCTCTGCATCTCTGGTAAATAAGTAAAAGGGAAAGGGGTACACAGACGTTTTACATGGTCAACAGGAAAGCTTAAATGTTTCTTGACCGTTTCTTGAAAAAGAACGAAGAAGAAGTCTTTCAGATGTAAGCAGTCACGTCAGTGAGGAAAGTAATGCAAGCATTTTCAGCAACCAGATATAAGAACAACTCACTTCTATCAAAAGTAATGGTGTAAAGCTAAGATTAAGGTGAAGTCGAGATATCAAGCAAGTTCAATCTGCTACAAAGGAGACTGAAACGGTGCTTGAAGCTATCAATCGAAAGTATGGAAACGCAGCAAACATAACCAAGGATGGCCTTAAAATTGCTCTTAAACATCTGAAATTAGCCGAAATTATAAGAGATGTTCTTATTAAAGAACAACACTACAGTAGATTCAGGAAGGAGTGTTCAAAATCCCTGCAAATCAGAGAACAGAGAATTTCCTTCAAAATGTTCAGCAAGAAACTTTTAAGTGTGCCCTTAAGGAAACAGAACGAGTTAAAAGAAACAAGAGTCCCTCAGATAGCCTTAAGAAAAGCAAAAAGGCTGCATCCTCTAAGAAAAAGAGAACCAGGGTAGTAAGCAGGAAAAGGGCCTTCCTAGCGGTAAAAGAGATAATAAGAAAATTTCCAACACGATGAAAAAAGTTCGGGTGAAAATAGGTATAGAAGAAACCGTTACCAGGGCACTTAAGTCTATGACGGCTGACTTTAATCCTAGCGAGACAGGAGCTATTGTAGAGAGTGTTGTTGCAAGTAAAAAAGGAGACCTGCTCTTAGACGCTAGTAAAATCAAGAATGTTACATAGTTCTCCGAATATGTTGATTTCAGTATGAAAAGATGGTTACTACTGCAAGGAAATGATGCTCGAGGTCCAGGACGTTGCCAGTATTGTTGAACAAGAAGAAATTGAATAATCTTCTGAGAAATTCATCGGAAACTTTAATAAAGACTTAAAGATTTAACTAATGAAAGCGAACGCTCAAGGGCATTAGTAGCTCTCGACGAAACAGCTGCAAAGCATGTAGAGCATGTACCTATAATCAAAGTTGGACTTGTTTTCTGTCTAATTAAAAAAAGGCTAATCGTAACCATTTGCTTCTGATACCTAGGGTATGGACATATTTTGTCAGAATGTAAAGAAGTAGATGTATCGAAGTTTTGCTTCCAGTACGGCAGCTGTAAGCATCAAAAGAAATACTGCTTGACCCCAGCGAGTTTTTTCTTCTGCAAGACAGAGAACATAAATTACGAAGCTGGTAGTGAAAGCTGCCCTACATTTAGAAGAGCGCTGGGAAAGACCCAAACAAGGCACAAGTTAAGTGGCAAGTTTTCTTAGAAGAGTGTAGGCTAATGCGGACCCATGCTGCGCTAAGTACAATTACTTATTAGCTAGGAAAAGCATCAAGTATATAGTGGCACTTGCAAAGAATGCAGCGTACGAAGGAGCACTAGACACGGATGCCAGTTCTGAGGGACCCCGAGTCCTTTTCTCGAGATTTTTGTGGGTATTGGGTCTAATAAAAAAAAACTTCCGGAGTCCCATACTGCCACTGGGCTTGAACGCATTTCCCCTCACTCCACAAAAAAAAAATGTTATCTGGCCTGACCATCTAATAAACTGCAAAGGAAACTATAAGCTTATGAAGGCAAAAATTTTGCCGTGTTTTAAGAAGAGATAATGAGATGTATGAGTTTTTGAATGAACCTATCATTATCTTGTGTCGGGGCTATTACACGTATGACCTCTGCTAGTTTTTTTTTTATGAAGTTTGGTAATTTGAGGCGTATGCGTATAGTTTGATGTTTATCATAAACTGCGCAACAACACAGAAATCTAACATTGAAACATTGGAAATTCAGCGTATTCATGGTAGCATCTATTTTATGATGCCAGCATTATAAACTTGTGTTATCGGTTTAAAACTTCAATAAGTAAATAAAACCAATACCTCTACTATATTGCGAATAACTAAAACTGGTTTTAAATTTTGAATAAAGATTAACGCTTACTACAACTTTCACTATTTCGTTATATTAGTTCAAAAAAATCTTATCTATTGTTATTTTTACCTATCACAATACAAAAAAATATGATAGTTCTATCAGTCGCGTGTGGTTTGCAGATAATGGCACAAATATTCTTATTGTAAGCTTACAATTAGATAATATTAGAACTAATACAAAACGTTTTAATAAAAAATGAAACCTTGCGCGTCCAAATTATTTTAAAAAATAAAAGAATTATACGTTTGATAAAAAGCATACACATTACTAATGAGATTTTAATGATAAATAAGCACGGTATACCAAACGCTACTGCCGCATCAAAATACGGAACGAGGAATTTATTATCTTTACGTCAAGGAGCCGTGAAAATGACACACTCACCTTCTCCGTTGTCTAAAATGTTACTTTCTCAGTATTCATGACTGACAACAAAAAATCTCGGCAACGATTAGCGTTCAACTCATCAAAACCTTATTAAACAGCCTTGTTCTACCAGATTAGAAGTCAGTCAATGATAAGGGCTAGATAGCGGAAATCGAAATGCTACTACTGCCTTTTGAGTTTCCGGGAAAATTGTTTGATCCTTCCGATCGCGACCTTTTCTGTGCTTACAGTCACCTCCTTACAGCGAAAACCATCGATACAGTAACCTTTTTTTGTTAAGCCTCGCATTTTTTCTTTTCTGGTCACGGCTCTATACATCGGCAGCCATCTACCGATTTATACACCGACATCTGGTTAATAAAAATATTTTTGTGCACTGTCCACTGGTTCCCTTCACTCTCTAAACTAATCTGCCCCTATATATTACTGTAAGTTATTTTTTAGTCTATTGTTCTTTTCTCATGGTATGAAATACTGTAATTAAAAAAAAAACGTTTCGTTTTTCAAGATATTTGTCATTCAGAATGTTTTAACTATTTTACTATGACTAACACTACATTCTATTTTCACTTACCAGGAAACACGAACAAATCTAACTGTTTAACTTGTACTGAACTAAATGATTTGACTGATGCTTCTAACATACAAATATTTTAAATATTTATGTTAACATGTAAAACAAAAACTTACTGATTTTTTTTTGTCTTCGCTAGATATAGCACTACAACTTCTATATCTGATAAGGTCTATAACCTTACTCACAGGGTTTCTGGTACTGTCTGAGCCAGCCCGAGGTCGCATAGAATCTTTGACATCTTTGTAGTCTTTTTCTATACCAACATCAAGCGAAGAGCCACTGTACAAATGTAGTGAGTGCTGTAAAATTAAATAAAGAATATTATACCAGAAAATTGATATAACTCACTAAGTTATTAGGCACGATGTATTAAATGTATTAAAGTACCCCTATAGTATTGTGGAAAAAAAAATTGTAAATACTTATATATCATCTTTTTTTGATTTGAAACAAATTTCAAATCAAGTATAGTGGTCATTTAAGTTAAGGTAGTTGTTTCTTAAATCAAAAGTATCTAAAAAGGTACGAAATTTTTAGCAAAACTAATATAAGCGTCGAGAAATATGTGTAATAAATTTGAGACCGATTTACCTCGTCGTTATTCAAATATCTTTATAAAAAAAATACTCTTTTAACATTGGAGCAATGGTGCAAACACTACATAGCCCCATTATTTTAAAAAGTGTAACTTACCGCGTATCTATAAATAATTAAAAAACTACTGAAAAATACCTTAGACAGTAAAGAAACACACACATTTTTTTGAGAATTCTTTAACACATAGTTTTAAAGTAATAGTAATCAAAAAAGTGCTTTTCTATTTATTTTGGAAGATAACCAAGTAAGTTTCGCGGATGGGGTAGTGTCACATTGTCACATGAGTACAAGTAGATATATGTATATGTTTATGTACGTATAAGTGAACGCAAAGGCATTCACATTTCTCTCTGATATTTTTAATACGGGATGATATTTAAACGTAACCTTAGTATTGTATATCTATCAATACGATAAACCTATGTATTGGAAAACAACTACCTGAAGCATATGGTGCGTGTATGTATGTACGTCTGTACGTTTTTTGACAAACTCAAGTAATTATTTAAATAGGTTCAAATTGTGAGGGTAACTTTGTGTTTAATATTACAGCTGGTATTGCATTTAGAGAGCTTTCATTGGAGAAAAAATTTTTAGCAACATTTTTACTACAGCACTGTAGGAAGAAAAAACCGTTTTTTTCGCTCCAAGTTTCAACACATACACTTTACACTTTCACGCTCAGAGATACAGTTGTAGACCACTAAAAAATACAACTTTTTTGTTTCATACATTTTATTCTGTCATGCATTATTGGTGCTCTGTGATGCAAAATATTTGTAAACACAGCGAAAAAATCATTTTTTGGACACAAATAAAGAAAATTCAAATTCTAAAACAAAGTTTAAATATAAACATTGTAGAACTCATTAAAGTAAAACTTTTTTACTTAGAAAGTGTACTCCACGATGCCGTTTGAATAAATGTTACAACTCGTTTAAAAAAAAAATCAAAAACTCGTTTTACAGCATCTTACTTTGTATATTACATATTTGGATGGATTGTCGATATGAATAGAACAAAAGTTGTAAATCTTATTAAATATACGCTTTTTTTATTAATAATGTTTGTTAATTTTATCGTCCAAATACTTCGGACAAAGAAACCGTTATAAAATACCTGAAAAATCGTTTTATATCATAAAATTCTTTTTATCATTCTCTGATCAAATATTTAATAAAAAACTTATAGATTTTATTATAATGGACTTATTTGTATGTAGAATTTGTGTCTTTAGTGTCATCCTAACATGAAATGTATGATATTACTAGCGGACCCCCGTCTCGGCTTCGCCCGAGACTTACTAAATGGAACACCGTAGTGTGTTGACATGTAATGTGAAATGTTTTCAGTTAGAAATTTTACATCTATTCCTGACACTTCTCAGAACAAAAATCATCTTAATAAAAACATATTTTTTCGAAATCCAAACAGTTTATTTGGTCAAATATTAAGCTATGAAAAGTAAAAAAAAAATAAAATTATGCTAAAACGTACCGTGCGTTCCTTATGCCATAAAATAATCGTTGGCCCTAAAGGACCGTTGGTTGGCAGTTTCTCCCGTATAATCGACGATAAGGGCTATTTCTTAAAGCTAGTAAGATTTAAAACTCCCAAAAAATATATATACTTAAAAAAAAAATTTTTTTCTCTTATCTCACAACTTCATTATCAGAGCAACAAATTCCTGGAGATTCATCTTTACGTTATTTATCACCAAAAAAATACAAATACATATTCTATCTGTTTTAAACTCTGGAAGATTTAAGAGATTACTGTAAAGGTACTGATTAAAAAGCTGATCTCTTANCTCTTATATCACAACTTCATTATCAGAGCAACAAATTCCTGGAGATTCATCTTTACGTTATTTATCACCAAAAAAATACAAATACATATTCTATCTGTTTTAAACTCTGGAAGATTTAAGAGATTACTGTAAAGGTACTGATTAAAAAGCTGATCTCTTATGCAATGGATTCTTTAGTTGTAAATTTTGAAGCTGCTGTTTCAATCTCGAGAAATGTTCTGTGTCAGTTTCTTGACGCCTAAAATTGTATTCATGGGATGCACAGAACGTTTTTCTTTTAATTCACCCTCTTGCAACTTTTGCCATGGTTAAGACTTTTGTGAGCCCTAAAGGCTGTTTTTTGTCAACTTTATTCAGTGCTAATATATTTGTTGGCAAGGTAGTTCGACGTCCGATTGCTTTAAAAAGGACCAGTGAGCTTCTTAAGTAAACTCTTTCTTGAATGAAGTTTTCATCAAACGTGACTGCCTGGATTTATAATAACCTTAGGGTGATCTTCTCCGGTCTGCTGCTAAAGCTCTACACTAATCGGAAGAAAAATTACAAAGTCAGAAGTTTTGGAGCTAGTTGTAGAGATCTTTCCAAACGTCTCCTGGTATAACGTCAAAAACGTTAGTGTCTCAAGCACTATCTATTTTTTGCAGACTCAGTAATTTTGGTGATCTAAGGTGGGGATATTGGTTTGTGATGCTTGCCCGATGGAGACTGTTCTTTCATCTCAAGTTTTTTTTCCTTCGTAACTGTTAGGTTCGCCCAGCACAGACGTTGGGAAGGATCGGTGATTCTTGGTTGAATGCTTAGAGTCGAGAGGGTAATATAGGGTCGTCGGTCACCAGAGTTCCCAGCTTTGCGACGAACAACTCCGCTCGTGACGACTGCCAGTGAATGACTGACTTGGCTTGATAGTGGCCATCTTTAGTTAACATAGTCTTTTAGTCGACCAATCGTTTCCGGAAATAGTAGTAAAAATGAATTTATTGGCAAGGTAGTTTAAATTTAGATGCCCCTTGAAAGAACCAATGAGATTGATGGTTAAGTAGGGAACGATACTTATAATGGCTCTGAAAAGGGCCAGTAGGGAAACTTTCAGCTATCCTTTTATTATTTTTGATGATGAAGAGCTGGCTGCAGGTAGCTTGACTCTTACTCTCAAAGTCTCTGTGTATGGAGACCGTGATGGAAGGAGGTACATCGCTGACCAAAGAATATCTCGTCTTTAGATCATTCCCTGGATAACCAACCGCTCATCGTTAGTCGGGAAAGTGGGCCTGGAGAATACTTTCTCTGTGGGTATGCCATTGGGACGACCATCGACCATTGAGAAGGAAGCCGTTGTGGCTGCCCGTACTCCTCAGGGCTGTATTTCCTGGCTTGCATTTGTAGAAAAAAATTCTCTGACGGCAACAGGCCGGATGGTGGAATGGCCACATTACTCTAAGTGACTGGAGCAGGTTGAGCTCTGGCTAGACACGTTTCCTGCTATTCTACTGGAGACGTTATCGATTACAAATTATTCTTATTAGTGGCACTCGTCAGTCTTGGAAATTCGGGGTGAAAGTATACCCAGGTCACTCACCCATTGGAGAAGAGCTTCATCGATAACCGGGATGTACCCAGCTGCACGACTAACATCTATATTCTCGATGGAGTCTGATGTACTGCTAGTAGACGACTACAGAATTATTCGAGACGCTCTGGCCTATTTTAACCACACTTATTTAATTTTGTTGCAGGTAGCTTCGATTTTATGTCGATGCCACCTAGCGGATTCTACTGAACTACCATGAAAAGCTAGCGTATTTTTAAAAAACTTTGAGCTTATTTATTGCTATTGTTATTAACTTTTTCAAGATAAAAACTATACTAAAACCATCTAGGAAGTGTCAAGAATCGGTATACAAAATTTCAGCTAGATCGGTTGAGTAGTATTCACGGTTAGCGATTACGACGGTTTTAGCGACTTTGCTTTATACATTAGTAATATTTGATTATTTGATCTTTGTTTGACACTCTGTATAACATGAGGCTATAGTGTTACTTTAATTATAATAAATTTTATCACATATTTTATTTATAAATGTTAAAATGTATTGATTTATTTAACTTTTGTAACACAATCTAATGTACGTTAGGTGTGGTTAACTTACAAGCGTGTTAGTATTTTACATCTAGCATACTACTCTGTGCTTAGCCTGATGGAGACAAGCGCTGCCACTTTAAACAAAATAAGTAGTGCAGATAATTTCTTATTTTTCAGTCATTTTATTAATATTTCAAAATTTAACTGAAGTTCAATACAATAAATAAGTCAAACAAAGATATTTTCAATAATGTTTCACGCTTTAATTTTATATTTAGTTTTCTCTGGGCCATGTATTCTTTAGCCATTGTTAGCCCATGCGTAGGCAATGTGGATTCAGTTTGTTATAAATTTTAATAAATCTAAAATTTATAGTTTACATTGCATGTGAAAATTTTTATTTTGTGTCAATCTAATATTTCTCACTATCTTCATTTTCCTCCAGTATCTTTATCTAAATATACAGTCCACTTTATTGAATGCTAAATCCAACCTTAAAAACAAACGTTAGTGAAATGTAGCTCTTTTATTATTAACTCATCTGGAATCTAATTATTAAAATATTTTGTTAATTTTTGTATTATTGTTTTATATCATAAANTCGGAATTTCCACTTTCTTAACAATAATCTAAAAAAGAAAATAACAGAAACATTTCCCCTACGTTAAGTATAATTTCTGAAAAAATATATACATGAAATTTTCTAAAATATCTTTTCAAGCTATGAATAAAAATACGAGCGCGTATAATCATCATGTTTCTTATGAAAATTTCAGAAAACTTTATTAAAACCTTCCTCGGAATCTGTATTTTCTGAGAAATAACACGTTACGCAAAAAAAAAAAAAAAATAATGTAAGTTTTTAATTTGGCAAAATATTAAGTACAATTTCATAAAAAAAGCTTTTTAATGTATACCAATAGTTACAAATAAGCATAATGTAAATACAAAACTGTCTGTTACACACGTGTAATGCTAATCTAGTGTCAGATAAAGTTAGTTTTATTCATACTTTTAAGTTTTTAATATTCTGTGACATATGATCATGCATACCTAAAAAAATCACATTAAGTAATAAATGTAGTTAATTATTTACAAAAGTTTATTATCTTAACGACATATTGCTTCAGTGCATAGAAAATCAAAAAAATGTTACATAATATGCATTAACTTCTGTCACTAAAGCTGAATAAAATAACATCAATTAAATTTTTTACATAATAATAATGTTTGTTACTTAATCGGTTTACAATAAGTCTGAAAATAATAAATGAATTGAAAGTAGAAATATTCAAGAATGTGCTACAAATAACAATAAACTTAAACATAATAAAGACCATTAACATTAGTTTTTTACATTTGATGACACGTGAGACATAAAGGTCATTTGTTAACGTATTAGAGTACAATGTTCAATATCTGGGCAGATTATGTGTAAAGTATTTCATAAACAAAAATTATAACATTGTATGCGTGATGAAAGTTTGAAAAAGTGTATTATGAATAATCTTCATATAAATAATTCATAATTTTTAGTAGCAATACTATTTTACCGTAACTCCTCTATCACAATATTAATGTAAACATTATTACATGTATGTGCAATATCTTACTATTATGTAAAGGAACAGAGTTTGTTTGTATGTTCGCAAAAATCTCAAAAACTACTGAACCAATCAATCCCAAATGATGACAGAAGATCAATTACAACTTCTTATGTGCCATAGGCTATTAAAATTAACGATAACTTTAATGGAGTCGTTTTTATGCTTCTTATAAAAACTAACTGTAAAACAGCTCTGTAAGAGAGTTTTAACTTTTTACCGCTACTTTACATTGACTAAGCCACTCCCGCAATCAATTTTACCGAATTACTTTAATAACTAAAAGTTCGTAGTAGGCTTCAATAACGTGTGACACGCACATCAACACATAGTTGATGTTAAGTGATAACACATCTCATAAAATTTTTCATCTCATAAAAATTTAATCACTCCAGAGCGTATATGGTGTGAAAAAATCTTTAATTTTACTAGTATACGAAACAAAGACGCAAAAACTGTTGTCATCGTAGAAGTACAATCGAAGCTACTTGCAATAAAATTAAGTGAGTCTGGTTATAATATCCCCAAGCAAATTGTTAGATATCATAGTCGTTCACCGGCAGTGCATGAAGCATAAAGCTAGAAGTCGTGCAGCTGGGTATCCCAGCTATCGACGACACTGTTCTCTAACAGACAAATGACTGACATCGAACTCCATCCCGAACCACCAAGATTGATGGATGCCACCAATAAATAGGCTTACCGATGGCTAACATCTCTAGCTTAATACCAGGAGACGTCTAATCAGAGCACAATCTGCTCTAGGGATTTGGGGTTTCATGGCCGTACAACAAAAAGCCAAGAAAAATAACCTTTGAGGAGTTTAAGCAACTTCCTCCTCAGTGATTAGTCCCAACAGCATACCTATAGAAAAGATATTCCCCAGGCCTACTTTCCTGACTAACGCTGAGCCGTTGGTTAACCGAGGAACGACCCGAAGACAAAATATTCTTTGGCCAGTGGCGTACCTCCCTCCAGCACGGCCTCCGTACCCAGAGACTCCGAGGGTAAGAGACAAGCTACCCACACCCAGCTCTCCATCATCAAGCATAATTATAAGAAATAGCTGAAAGTATTACCATTGGCTCTTTTCAGAGCCATTACAAGTATTTACGTTCCCTACTTAACCATTAATCTTATCGTTTGTTTTAAGGGCCAGCTAACGTTAAACTGTCTTGCCAACAAATACATTTCAAGTATTATTTCTGGCAACTATTCGTAGAATAAAAGACTATATAAAGCTGGCCACTATTTAATCAAGTCAGTCATTCACTGGCAGATGTACGTAACAAGCAGAGTTGTTCGTCGAAAGGCTGGAAACCCTGGCCACTGACGACCCGGCATTACCCTTTTGACTAAAAGCATTCAACGAGGAATCACCAAGTTTCTCTGTGGTCTGCACTGGGCAAACCGAACAGCTATAAAGGAAAAATAAACTTGAGCAAACGGGACAGTTTCCAACGAGCAAGTATCGAGAACCAATCTCCCCACCTAAGATCAGCAAAACAACTGAGCTCTGCAAAAAAAGGTGCTCTAAACACCAACGTCCTTGGCGTAACATCAGGAGATGTTGGGAAAGAGCTATACAATTACTTCCACCGCTTCAGACGTTGTAGGTTTCCTACCGACCAGTGTGATACTACAACAGCAGGCCAGAGAAGATCACCCCAAAGAATTCAGGCAGTCAGGTTTGCTGGAGACCTTAGCCAAGAAAGAGTTTAGCTCACCGGTCCTTTTTAGGGTCAGCAGACGTCGAACTCCCTTGCCAACAAATATATTACAACTTAACAAAATTGACAAAAAACAGCCTTTAGGGGTCACAAAAGTTTTAACGATGCCTATAGTCGCAAAAGGGCGAATGGGAAGAAAAACTTTAAATGCTGCAAATGTATACAATTTTGGGCATCAAGAAACTGACGGAGAACATTTATGGAGATTTAAACAGCAGCGTCAAAGTTGACAAATAAAAAATTCATCACGTGAGGAATCAGATTTCCGTTATAACCCTTACCCCTTACAGTAATCATTTAAACTTTACAAATTTTTAAATAGCTAGAATAATATGTACGTGTATTCATTGTGGTAATAAAAAAAGAGAGATTACGCTCCAGGACTTTGTTGCTCTGGTAACAAAGATGTAAGACTAAAAAATCAATTTTTTAATGATATTTTTTTGTTTGTTTTGTTTGCTGGGTTCTCTGAATCATTTTGTACAAATATATGTTTAGGATTTTTACATCTTGACACAATACGTTCAGTTCACCATGAAAAATAGAGAACTTTTGTATTAAAGTCCTAATTTTTCATAACTTTGACCTTGCGATAAATTGATTGTCATGCAAAAAGCTAGAACTTATCGAAATTAGTTTCTGTATATAATAAACGGTAAAGATAAATTATGATCGGTATTCAACGTGATTCTTGGAATGAAAACTCTATTACCAGATTTTTCACCAGTTATTATTTTTGCTACTAAATTATATTTAAATAATTTTGTTATAAGTAGTCTAGTGCCCTTTCACAATTCATCAAATATACTCAAGTTTCTTATCAGCATAACAATAGCATCTACTTTTAAATTTAAAACATATGGCGGTAATCCTTCATGTATATTATTTCGAGTTTCTATAAAAAAATAGTTTATATTTTTATCAGTGCGATCAATACCTTTATATTTTGCATGATCTATGCTGTAATAAGTATGTTCTTTTCCTTTAATAAAACTAAAAAATTTATTATTTTCAATGTACGAAAGTCTGTTATGAGTGGTTAGTATCACTTTGTATAGGCAGCTATTCATACCATCCCTAAAGATTTTTTTTAGAAATATTATCAGCTCTCCATCCCTTTTTACTTTAAAATTTCCTTTAAATTTAAAGATTTCATT